CGAAGCGATACACTCATCGTAGCTCAAAATTTGATGAATTGAAGCTCAAATTGAGGTTTCGAGATGATGATGATGATGGATTCGGATCGAATCGAAGAAACGGAAGAAGAAATTTGAGAAAGTGATGAAGATTCTTGTTAGAGTTTGTTGGGAAAAAATTTCCGAGAAAATGAATGAGAGAGAGATAAAATTTTGTTCTGATACCATAACAAATAATTGGAAAATATTATCTTTCTCATTAACCCAAAAGTGAATGAACATTATGAGATATATTTGTATATAGTATTGACTATTGAGGATTAAGCTAAAGGAGACTTAATCACTCTAACGAACTGGATCATTAAGCTAACTAGTACATAAACTTAATAATGGATATCGATGCTTCCAGCAAAACCAATTCCCAGGGTGTGGTGTGACGGGCGGTGTGTAAATCAAAATAAGCAAATAAATATTAGCGTTAGAGTAGTCAAAACTCAACCAAAGAAAACCTATAACTGGTAAAATTAAGCGTCTACTAAACTTTCAGGGACGAAACCTGACATTTTTTCTTTTTTGTTCTTCTGAAACGATGTCGTCGCTCTTTTCCCAAGTTCGGGTAAAAACCGGTTAATCCTAAACTGCTTTGAGTATACTGGTTTAACGAATTTGATTCAAAATCACCGGTTTATGATGACGTATCTCTCTAGACGAACTTTCTTCTCTCAAGAATATCAAGTTACTAAATTCTCTGTATTATATCAAATAGTGTTGTACATTTTGCACAAGATGTCTCTTTCATAATTGGAGTGATAAATCGATCTTAGAACGAACTGACAATTGAAATCAAATGTTGTTGGTGCAGTCTTTTAACTTGTTCTCAATTCCAGCTGAAACCATTCAAATCAAACTGTTTCGGACGCGTTGTGCCGTAGTTTTCCCCGTGTGTGTTAAGATCTAGCGCTGTTCTGCTGCGTGTTTCAAGCTTGCAATCTTCGCCATTCTGGTTGAATCTTTCCTCTGTGTACTCACTGTTGCTATTCCCTCCATTGTGTTCATGTAATCCCACTCCTATTGACAAACTTCCAGGGCTTCTTCTTGAAGACGAGCTTCTCGGTTCTGCATTGTTGGAAAGATATGGCCTGTTGTTATTCTCTCTGAGGCTTTCTTCTTCTGCCCATGTTAACTCCATTCTAGGGAAGAATGGTTCCTCCATTATCTCCTTCTGCTCGGAAGTTGAATCTCCAATATATGTTCTTAATCCCAGTCTCTTGTCAAGCATCTTCGGGGCTTTGTGAGTTCCTTCACTTGAGGTTAGGCAACTGTCCAGAGAGGTGTTAGGTGGATAAGTTGTCTGCATCTGTTGATGGCGTAGATTCTGCACTTCTTTCGGTTCTAGGAAAATGGATTCTGGATATTCTGATGACACTTTAGATACTAGTTCTGAGAGTTGAGCTTTCGTTGCTTCGATCCCAGCTCCACCTACGTTCTGTCTTCCAAGAGTCTCTTGCGCTTTCTCCAGAATCGCTTGCAGGTACTTTCCTTGAGCCTCGATTCTGAGCTGCAAATGTCGCTGTACCTGACTCAGTTTGAAATATTTTTGATGAAATCGTAACTAAATGCCTTGTTATTTTTTGTTTCTAGACAGTAGGTCTATCCTCTATTGATGCTCTACACTGAGTTGAAATGTTCCTAATCAACACACATTTCATGAGAATTTTCATATCTTTTTCTGCAAAAGTTGGTGATACAGACTCGTCTTGATTGATCTTGTTAGAACAAATATAGGAACAGCAATTCCAACACTGATATATGCTTTAACTAGAGTAAATCCATGCAGCACAGTATATGATACCTCAAGTTGCTCGTGTAGCCTTCTTTGAACCTCTATTTGCATTTGAAGTGCATCACTTATGGGCAAGTTCCTGGGTGACCAAATATTATTATGAAAATTTAATGAGGTAGAAGATGTAAGCAAATAGCCATATTCTTACATGCTCTGCTGTGGTCCAATGCTTAAACTTTCGCTGTGACTTTCATCTGCTTCAGGGGTGTTTTCTTCTACCATGGTCATCACACCTAAACCAGGTTACCTTTAGTTCCTTGAAGTAAAATATTTTGAAAAAGAGAAAATGAAATTCGTGCATCTGAGTAATGAATAACTAAGCTTACTTGTCTTGTTTAAACTGCTGTTAGCTTGTCCATTAAGATTCTTGCTTAGCCTATATTTCTGGTAGTCAAATCTTGGAATTAATAACAGATATTATCGATTTACAGTTCTTGACTCGTAATTTTTGGGCTACTTTAACAGTTTTATACCAAGCAAATTGATGAACGAGTCATATACAGAAACCTGAAGAGTTTAGGTACATGTGTGTATATAAAGGTCCATTAGCTTACCTGAAGATGACTCTTGAGATGGTATAAAGTGAGGCCTGGAATACCCATGACTTTCATTATTGTCTTAGGAGTAGCTTCTGCAGAGACACAAGTGTACATGTTAATACATTATGTCAAAAAGCTGCCAAAGTTGGTTCAGTTGCTAATAATATTACTTACTATCTCCTCCTCCAAGCTGGTTGACTGCTTCAACAAATCTCTCATGAAGATCTGGAGTCCATTTTAGTCGTGGCTTTGCATCGGTTGAGAGAATGAGTCCAGAATCCCCTGTGCCATTTCCTCGGAGGAATGGATGCTTTTCAGAAGGAATGGGCATTCTCGACGAAGAGAGGATGCTCTTTCCTTGGTGCTGGTTGTGGTAATACATAAGTCTGTCTTCAAAATAAAAATGTCAGTTTATCCCACTTAGAGATACTGCATTAATAATGAGTGTAAAGACCAAATGTTTTTCTTTTACCTGACACAATCTAAGTTTTTGAATGCAGTTTGCTGCTCTCAGTTCAGAGATACTCTATGGTATGCAACTCCACCAACTTGGGAAAATGTCTTTGCTGCTTTCCTTATTTATGCTCTTTTTACTCAAGCCGGGGTCTCTCAAGAGTAAAAGGTCTTTGCAGCTTTGCTTTTTATAGAAAGTTGAATGCAAAAAAAGGCAAACTAGAGGATGATAACTAAGGTATGGAATATGAATAACCGGTCCAATCGTAGCTTTATTGTTTGTGTACTTATCGTTTAAATTGTGTTGTATGCTTAGATTATTTTTCTCTTGATTCCTCTGGACTACAACTTTTCAGTGCAATTCAAGCCTTGCATTAGATACCAGAATTGATCCCCAATTAATGCATCAATATGCGCATTCTTTCACCATTCTGGTATATGAAAGAATCTTATTCTCCAAATTGTTTTTTTGACAACTTTTCTACTTGGGCTGGGGAATTCATTCTCTTCCCTTATTCCTCAATTTTTTCAAAGTCCACAGCTCTAACCTCTCTACCTCTCGAGGAATATTCTCATTGCTTTCCACTTGTCTGTATTGTTTTTGCTCCTACTTGATAGTCATTTTTTGTCTGTAGATACATCTTCAGTCTTAACATTCTTTTTATTAAAACTTTTGGTCAAGAGTTTACCGATATCATCAACATGGCTGATTTGGCCATGTTAATTTGAAGAGTGTATAATGATGATATCCTTATGATTTTGATGGCAAAGAAGCCCCAAGAATGTGATATCAAGAGATATGTTTTTGTTTCAACATTGTTTTGTCTTAAAAGATAGTTAAGACGTGAGAAAGTGAATGAAGAATATTTCATGCTGTCTCCTTCAACAAGTTTAGTACCTATTCTCTCTAAACAGTATAAAAATTAGTGGGGGACCCATTATCTTACATTCTTTGATTGGCACAACATATTTGGCCCATCC